TCGTGTGTAAATGCACACAGACACACACGCATATAAAAATATAAAACAAGATACCCCTTTCCTCTCACCCAAGCAGAACCTCCTCCCCTCCCCACCTCCATCGCAAACCCCCCCTCCCCCACCCACTCACCTTCTCACAACACAATATCCGCATTTTCCTTCCCGCCGAATGATGAATGAGCCGAGAGAGCGAGAGTTCATTTCATCAATGGAAGAAACAGGATGGAGGAAAGGAGGAGGGAGGAGAAGGAGGAGGAGCGAGGTAGGAGGAGGAGGAGGAGGAGCGAGGATGGGGAGGAGGAGGAGCGAGGAGGAGGAGAGGAGGAGGAGAGAGGAAGGAGGAGGAGCGAGGGAGGAGGACTCAGGGAAGGGGAGGAGGGACCGGTAGGTAGGAGGAGGAAGGAGGAGGAGGAGGAGGAGGAGGAGGGGAGGAGGCGAGATGGGAAGGAGGAGGAGGAAGAGGGAGGAGGAGGGAGGAGGAAGGAAGGGAGGAGGAGGAGGAGGAGCGAGGTAGTGAGAGGAGGAGGAGGAGGAGGAGGTAGAGGGGGAGGAGGGAAGGAGGAGGAGGAGGAGGAATTAGGAAGAAGGAGGAGGGAGAGGAGAAGGAAAAAAGATAGAAGAGGAGCGAGGAAGGTGGAGGAGCAGGAGAAAGAAGAATGATTAGAGGAGGAGATATTAATGATAAGAGGAAGAGAAATGAAGGAGGGAGGATAAGGAGGTAGAAGAAGATAATAATAAGAGGAGTGACGAGCGAAGAAAAGTGGGGGATAGGGAGAAGGAGAAGAAAAGAGAGGAGAGTGGCAGCAAGAAAGGTAAAAATAGGGAAGGAGCAAGTCGAGAGCTAAAGAAGGGATAATATTAAATAGGGGAGGAGGGAGAGGGAGAAGAGAAGGAGGAGTGCTAAGGAGTGTGTTACAAGAGTGTATGTGGGACTTAGGGGGGGGAGAGAGGAGCGAGGGAGCGGGAGAATAGGAAGGGGGAAGAGGACGCTTGGTACGGCGAAAGGGTGTGGGGGTGAAAAAGGCTGATGAAAGAAAGGGAGAAGAGAAAAGATAGATGTGGACATAGATAGATAGAGAAATACAGAGGCAGAAAGATAGACAAAGAAATAGGCAAATAGACAGACAGACAGATAGATAGATAAATAGATAGATAGACAGACAGAAAAAAATAGACAGAAAGATATGTAGATAGACAGGCAGACAGATAGATAGATAAATCTATGGACAAAAAGAGAGAGAAAGAGAATAAATAAATTGTGATTTTATTAGAGAGTGATAGAGACAGACAGGCAGATAGAGAGATAAGGAGACAGAGCGAAAGATAGACAGACACAGATAGATACACAGATACAAAGACAGAAAGACAGACAGACAGATAGATAAGCAGACAGACAGACAGAAAGATAAATAGACAGACAGACAGAGAGATGGATAGATAAATAGACAGACAGACAGATAGAGAGCCAGATAAAGAGACAGACACAAATATAGATACACAGACACAAACAGAAAGACAAACAGACAAATAGACAGATAAGCAGACAGGCAGACAGACAGATAGATAGACAAATAAAGAGACAGACACACACACATATAGACAGATAAACAAAATTCTACTGAACAATCACATGAAATTTATTGAAAAATGAAAGACAATCAGCCGTTATGACAGGAAAAGTCAGAGAGAAAATAAATCCTTTTTATTGTGATTAAAGAAAGAAGAAGAAGAGAAGAAGAAGAAGAGAAGAAAGAAGAAGAAAGAAAGAAAGAAAGAAAAAGAAAGAAAAAGAAAAAAGAAAAAAAAGAAAAAAGTAAAAAAGAAGAAAGAAAAAAATACAGACATATTATATATATAATACTAATATATATATATATATATATATATATATATATATATATATATTATATATATATATATATATATATATAATATATATGTTGCTAAAGAAAAGGATATATACAATGATGTTGAACGTGGAAGTCTAGGAATCAAAAGTTGAAAGGAAGAAAGAAGGAAGAGAAAAAGAATAAAAAGGGGAGAAAGTGAAGGATTCGAAGGAGGGAAGAATGAGAGAGAAGAAGGGGAAAGACGTAACAAAGGCTTAACAGAAAGTAAGAGGGAAATACAAAGAAAAAGAAGAAATTAAGTGAAAAGGGGAATATAGAGAGAGAGAGAGAGAGAGAGAGAGAGAGAGAGAGAGAGAGAGAGAGAGAGAGAGAGAGAGAGAGAGAGAGAGAGAGAGAGAGAGAGAGAAGAGAGAGAAAGAAAGAAAGAAAGAAAGAAAGAGAGAGAGAAAGAGAGACCCAAAAATATAAAGAGAAAAAGAAGGAAAAGAAGAAAGAGAAAAAAATCAAAAAAAAACAAAACAAAACAAAACAAAATCGAAAGAAAACGGACATGGCAAAATCCCTTTAAAAAATCAACCAAAACCCATAAGGTTCAAAGAGACGGCATATAAACATACAAACTGACTCTTAATGCGACAGGGCTGAGGTCTCGTCCAAGTGATATTCAATACTAACAAGTCAAGCCATTATATTGGACGAAGAGAAGGAGAAAGGAGAAAGATAAAGGAAGAAAGGGTGGATGATAAAGAAGGAGGAGGGGATGGGAAGAGAAGGAGAAAGGGAAGGGAGGGAAGAAAGGGTGGATGGAAGATGATAAAGGAAGGGAGGAGGGGAAAAGAAGAGAAGGAGAAAGATAAAGGGGAGGAGAGGGAAGGAAAGAAAGGGTGGATGGAAGATATAAAGGAAGGAGGGAGGGGATGGGGAAGAGAAGGAGAAAAGGAGAAGATTAAAGGAGGACAGGGAAGGGAAGGGAAGGGAAGAAAGGGGTGGATGGAGATGATAAGGACAGGAAGGAGGAAAAAGAAGAGAAGGAGAAAGATAAAGGAGGAGGAGAGGGAAGGGAAGAAAGGATGAATGGAAGAAGATGAAGGAAGAGGAAGAGAAGGGAAGAGAAGGAGAAAGGAGAAAGATAAAGGAGGAAGGGAAGGGAAGGGAAGAAAGGGTGGATGGAAGATGATAAAGGAAGGAGGAGGGAAGAGAAGAGAAGGAGAAAGATAAAGGAGGAGGAGAGGGAAGCGGAAAAAAGGGTGGATGAAATGATAAAAGGAAGGAGGAAGGGAAGGGAAAGAGAAGGAGGGAGGGGAAGACATAAGGCGGAGGAAAGGGAGGGAAGAAAAGGTAGAATGGAAGAAGATAAAATA